TTGATCCAAAAGCATCGATCCCATTCAATAAAGATCAACCAACAGTTCAGAATTTTAAATATTTGTTCCAAACAATAGATTTAGTATATTAATACCTTCAAAGACTCTTCAACTTTTACCATTCAGTTTTTGCTCTTAATTATGCATTTATTTTAGAAAAAAAACTAATGATCAACTCAGCGTTTTTTTTTACTTCAAAATATTTAAATATAACTTAATAAAATACATTTATATATAATTTTTATTTTAAATCATTATTCAAAAAGAAATTCTCCTTTAGATAAATGAAAATATCTCTATTCTAATGAACAATTCATTTATTTGACATCGAGTCAATTTTTTTAGTTCAGTATAAAACAGATAAACTCAGTGAAAAAGATTCTTATAATCTATTTCATCGTATGAAAAATTTATCTGAAAATATTTCTATGCTACTTCAGCGTACATCTTTCAATGAAAGACAGAATATAAACTCGAAGGTATTCATTGTTATCCGGTGGTAGTAGCTGTTTTAGAAGCCATTACAAAACTGTATGAATTGGCGCAAATATGTTAGTACTCACAAATGTGACATTCCGAAACTCAATGAATCACATGAATTAGTAATAAGAAGTAAGTACAACTTTGGTCAAAAGTTAAAAAGAAAATGTAAATTTTTGAAAGAAAAACTTCAATGATGCTGAGTAAAAATATCATTATTATATAATCTAATATTGATTTGAGGGTAAACGTGAGACTGTATGTTTTATGAAGTAAAATGATCAACTTGCTCTTTTTAATTACAAAATTATCATGATAAATAAATTTTCATATTTATCAAAACTGCTCAAATATTTGGAATTCGATAAATTGTGTGAAAGCAGAGAAAAAAACTTGTTGGTACATCGAGGCAGAATGATAAATCAATAACAGCATTAATAAGTGAAATAGACTCGTTCTATAACCGAAATAATAATTATTTCATTACAGCACCTATTTTTGTCAACAATATATCATTAGTTATAGGAAAAGAAAATTAAAAAATATTATTTAAGGTCAATAACACTAATATTTTTCAACATATTTTTCCTTGCCTTTCATATTTTTTTGTCTTACCAGCTTTTTGAATCAATTTAATGTTCAATTTTATAGAATTCCAGCTTTGTTGCTTATATTTATAGAATCAGTGGTGAATCTATGATTGTTATTATGTGGAGTACTTCGAAGGTGAAGGGAAATAAACATAATCAAAAATCATGTTTTTCAAGTGTATTAAAGATAGTATTATTTTACTATTAGGTAGCTACTGGTAGAAGAAATCGGAAAAAAATTGAAATAGGACCGATAGCCGCCCCCTTCAAGGACTGTCGAAACAAATTTTTCTTCTTGATTCTGATTTTTTCAAAAAAAAATACTTAGTTTACAAATATGATGAGATTATCAAAACTTTAGCTGAAACTAAAAATCTCGAAAGAACAAAATTAAAAATAATAAGTATTGGAAACTTTGAAATAAAAATATTAATGATAGAAATGTTGAAAGTAAACTGTCGATAGAAACATGTCGAAAAGTGATCTGGAGATTTTTGAATATTTTCCCATTTAGAACATAAAAAACAAGCAGATAAATTTGAATCAAATGTTTATTTTTGACAAAGGAAGAATAAAAGATAAGCATAAATACTTTGAAATATTAGTGTTATCGATCTTAAATAATATTTTTTAATTTTCTTTTCCTATAACTAAAGACTGCCTGTTGAAAAGATCAGATGCTCTAATAAAATAATTATTATATTGATTATACAATGTGTTTATCAAATTTTGTAATGCTGTTCTTCATTTGTTTTTTAACTTCGATACACAAGAAGTTCATTGAAGTGTAATATTCTGTATAGATTTTTCTTCCATTTTGAAAAAGGTAAACAAATATCCACACATTTGAGTGATTTCGATACATATCAGAATTCATTTTATTATAATAACCTGCAATTAAAACCAGCAAGTTGATCGTTTTATTCATCAAGCATATATACTGCAAATTTAACGCTCAAGTTAATATTGACAGTACAATAATGACATCTTCATTTTTATTCAACATCTTTTAAAACAATCATTATTTAACAAATTTACGTTTGACTTCGATAAATTTTCTTTTCAAGCATTTTTCATTTTCTATATTTTTTTACTTCCTACATTTTACTCGGAATATTTTTAGTTTTGACAGAAGTTAAATTTACCTATGATGGATAACTTAATCTTAATCGAAACTGTGTTAGCAATTATCTGATGTGGCTGCAGTACTGTACCTTTAATCAACTTCTTATTTCCTGCATTACTTTAAAAAATGTACTTATTGTAAAAGTATTCTCGTTCTCAAGAGTCTAGATTCTCAATCAAATTTTATTGTGCCATTTTTTGTTCACATTGATTCATCAATAGCATGATTAAGTAAATTAAAATATTGAAAGAAATAATTATCGATAATATCAATATTAACAAACAAACTATCTGTTGATTTTCTGTTATTTGAATAATCAAAGTCGAGAATAATTTTTTCAAGTGAACAAGGCAACAAAATATCCAGTTTTTGTAAATACTACAGGCACTGATAAAAATTTTTGCTCTTTCGATACAAATTTGTCAATAAATTACTTAATTACAAATAAATTTATTCTAAAATGATAATATATAAGATCTCTCTTGTTTATTTACAAATAGTCAAATAATCTATTAATTTTTTATATAAAAAAGAATCTTCGGCATGTATTTGCTTTATCTTTGATCATAATTTAGCATACCATATTTTGAAATTTGAGAAATAACAATCATAATATCGTTCCACTTTCATTGCATTACATAGAGATCTTGAATAAAGTGCGCTATATCCTTATATGTTTTTTTTCCTAGGAATATATGTTTACATAATATTGTATGGTACAGTATTAAAATAGAATAATTGACTACATAACATACAAGTTTTTTTATTTTTACTTTTTTAAGACAAAAAGAAAAAGAGAATAATAATGATAGATAAGAAAAAATGCATATAGATAAGACCAAATTGACCAGCCAGTTAATTTTTCACTACAAAAAAAAAAACAAACAAAGGCAATGATTATAATATAACAAAAAATATTTACTGTATGTAATCATATCAACTTCATCAGGCATTTCAGTAATTTGTACTCCAAAACGACTTTGAACTTCATTAAGAATTTTTGCATCACTTCCATCTGCAACAAATGTTATTACTAAACATTTTGCACCAACTCCACCATCACGGGCAATCTAATATTAAATATTTTAATAAATAAAAACAAATTTTCTTTCGAACATACTCGATCAAGATAAGTATCTGTATTTTCTGGCATATCATAATTAAATACAATATTAGCACGTGCAACATTCATACCACATTCAAATAATTTTGTTGCAACGACAATACGTGTTTGACCTTCTTTAAATTTTTTATAATGTGCCAAACTAAACAAATATAATTATTTAAGTTTTCTATTATTTCAATTAAAAATAAGCAAACCGTTCGTTTTCTGGTATACCAGGATGAATTTCAACAGCAGATAAATTATTTTCATTCAATGATTTGCATAAACGTTTGTAACTTGATGCAGGTTTACGAAAAATAACAGCTTGTTTGAATGGTACAACACTCAGTAAACGAAATAATTTTTTTTTATCATCATTATTTAAAGTAACGTAATATTGTTGAACACCATGAAGTTTTGATTTTGTTTCATTGTCAATAAAAATTTCAATTTGCTAAAAAAAGCAAATGACTCTTCATAAATATGATAATGCGTAAAACTTACATCGTCTGTAACAGCTGCATGTGTTTGCTGTGTTTCTTTACTTGGACTTAATTTACCGTCTTTTTGCGTCAAGTTAATTAATTTACCTAATTTATCATTAACTTGTTCCATCAAGTTAAGCAATTTATTGTTGATGGTATCTTGGCTCTGCATGAATTTTGCCAACATCTCGATTATAATTTCTTGTTTGTCTGGAGTTGGTGCTGTTGTTGCTGCTGTTGGTGGTGCTGGTTCTCGGATGGCCTAAAAAATTTATTTCGAGTTA